CGTTATGGAGCATCCTCACCTTCTCCTCTTCTGAGTGTTTCATGGGGACCCATTCACTGCTTGTTATATTTCCCAGAACAATCGATAATCTTTTTTCAGCTTTTAAAGATTATGGCACAGAGCCCAATGCATCCTTCATTTGTGTTCTCTATATGACGCACAAAAATTCAATGTACTTTGACTGCTAGAGTTAATTATTCATTGGCTAGTTTTGGCAATTTTTCTTCATATACGAACAAACACACCTGTAGATCTGCTTCTAGATGGTAAGGTTATCGTTGTGCCATGAGATTCTTCGTATGCCTTTCAGCTGCAAACCACGTATCCCTTAGAGTACAGAAGTAAATGACTTAACCCCTGTGGACTGGAGTCACAAAGGCGTGCTGCTGCCCCCTTCTGGCAATCCATGTCATTGCTTCAGACCTGCTCAGCAGTACGGCATGACCGAGCATTTTAGCCCATTTGCCAGTGAATAGAGGCTCAGCTGAATAATCTGTTGGTTGAGCTTTTTAAATCGCCGTGTAATAATGGTTCACCCAGAGATGTTTAATATCAATAATCTTTTCATACTGCCTTTGTACAGTGCTGTAAATGTGTATTAAGGCAGAGCTGAATTCAAGTTATTGTTGCATTATTGGAAAAGTCTTTTCTCTTTAAGCTGATACTTTTCCCATGTTTTATCTCCCAAATATATGTTAAAATTTAGTTTTTCTTTTTGTCTGTGGATAAGAGTCAAGTTGCCCCGTGTGTCAGTCGCTTTAATTGGCAGATGGTTTTAGCCAAATAAAACCCAAAATTTATCGTCTCACTTTTATTTCACAGAGCTGAGCAGAATGTGAGGGCAGGAACTCCATATTCCTTCCATCTGCTTTTCTTGCTCGGGGGGGCTGGAGTCCATCCCAGGCAGCGCAAGGCTGAGGAGCATCCTGGGATGCCAGTCCGTCGCGGGGCTCATACCCACACATGCTGTCGTAGGGAGAGACCAGAGAGAGACCAGAGAGAGACCAGTTAGCATGTCTAGAGATGTGAGGCAAGAGCACTATGTCACCCTAGAAATAATAATATTAATAATAACACAATCTGAAGGAAGCCAGTTTTTTTTGTGTGACTCAAATGAGGGGTAATATTCTTCACCTCATCCTGCGTGGTCCACGTATGATTCTCAGCTGGGGCCTCAACATCTGTTTCGTCTCTTCCTTTCAAGTTGTTATTACAGACCACAAACCTGAAATTTCGCCTCCCATCAAAGAGATTCTTTGTGATTTATTGCAATAAGCAGCTACTCTGGGTATTATTGATGGCCCTGTTAAATAAGTCAGTAGATCCCCCTGATCGTTACTGGGGCCGGAGATTATGCTGTGGAGTTCTTAAATAAAACGCTAGATGTAGAAGGAGGTGGTGCAGAATGTTTGGGGGTATCTGCTGTCGAGGCCACGTCTTTGCACGGTCGTCCCCTGCCCGTGGCGTTCACAGCTGGGCGGCGCCGAGGCAGAAGGCGGCTCTCTGTTGGCTAGGGAGCGGCGGTATTTCAGTGAAGGCCTCTTATCAGATGGCCTCTAATTGGCATTTTCGAGGCCTGCGCTGTTGGCGCCTTCTGTTCATTCTGGCGAGATTCAGGTTGTCCAGCTGCGCTTAGTGAATAATCTTCCCAGGTCGACTGCACGTGCGCACGCACACGCACGCACACACACACGCACACACACGCACGCACGCACACACGCACGCACACACGCACGCACACACACGCACGCACACACACACACACACACATATAATTATAATATGTTCAGTAGTAACTTAAAGTGGTTGATCATGGTACTTTTTTCTTGGTTTTCAGAATTTTCTGTACTTCCCACACTAGCTGAACCGATGGAAGGGGATTTCCCTGAAGTGCCTATCTGATGTGTAAATCACCTAATCTTGCGCAATACCTAGTTATTGTTTAGTTTTGTTATTCTTATTCAATGCTTGCTCATTTCATATAACCATTTGTTTGTCTTGATTTGTTTTCAGCAGTAAAAAGGACATTATTTCTGCTGTTTCCTTTGCTTTTATGAAGGCATTTTCTGGTCATATAACTAAGCTTTTGTTATACACACATATACTCTCAGTGGCAAGTTTACTGGATACGCCCGCTAATTAATGCGAACATTCTGCTCCTCAGAACAGTGAATCATCTGGCTGCAACTGAATACATACAGCACACAGGCAGGGCGAAGAGGGTCAGATGCTTGATCAAAGCGATTCTGAATGTGGTGTGATGTGCCAGACTTCCAGCATCTCAGTAACCATCCTGGGAAGTCTGATTGTCTGTTTGTAAAAAGACCATGGTGAATCACCATGCTCGGGCATGGTACAAGGCAACTGGGCCAAGTGAGAATATGCCCTAAAACAGGCCAGCAAATTTCTAATGAGCAATGGGCAACTTTTTGCGGCCATCCAGATCAGGGTGAGCTGCCCTTTGTCTCAGCTGGTTGCCCGGCAACATTGCTCAAAAAGTTGCCCCATAAATCGTCACCGTAAGGTGTCGTAAAAAGATCTGCAGTGGTTCTTGAGTGTGGAGCTGCATTTCACAATCCTAAAACTGCAAATTGGGCTTTCTGTTTGGGGGGGTGCAAAAACATTTCACGAAGTTTGTGCCTTGAGAGAGCGGCATGCCACTCAGCCTTCAGGCAGAAGTTCCTGGGTGCTGAAATGTTTACAAAATACAGCCCCGGCCCAGTTAGGCAACAAACGTTCTGCTGGCGTCAGAGGCTTTACCGGAGCTGTGGTGGAACTCTGGTTTGTTGCAATAGGAATGTATGAATGCGACCCTGCATACCGGGCAAATGGTGAAAATGAAAGGCAGCTATCCTCACAGGATAAATAGAGGGGTAGAATGATAAAAATGTCATTAAAAAAACCTTTGCCAAACTAGAAATTAATTGAACAGATTAATATAAAAATATGCTTTTATATGGGGGAGCTGGCTCCTACGCGCCTGTTTCTGAATGTGAGGTTAGCGTGCCCACATGCTTCTGAGGTTGAGTTGGAACTTGGCCTTGGATTATCCCCCCCCCATGACTACCATACAAGACACTGTTCTCTGTCCTCTTCTAGTGTTTCTCACTATACTCCTACTGTACTCACACTATACTTCCATATGGCATGAACTGATAAATGTAGTAAGGAAAAATACTGCTGGGCTGTATGAGGAATTACAGACTTCAGTGAATGGGACCGTGGTAGGTTTGCACTGTTGCTTGTTTACTGACATGTTCACGTTCATTTAGTGCTTACATTTTACACTGCTGTGTATTTTTACAACGTACAGATTTGATAAATGGGGTGTGTGTCTGTGCACGCAGTCAGACTTGCATTGGAGGGCCAGCCTATGAGGAACTCTGCTTTCATTTCCTGTGACTGTAAAGGAAACATGTGACTGAGAATTAATGGGCTGTGAAGCTTTAGGAAAAACCAGAACCAGAAAACCGGACTATTTCAGGGCAATTGTCACGCCTTCTGAGAACAGGGCTGGGTCCCTGATTGTGGTTGTGTCGTGTTGAGTCAGTTAATTAAACCAAACAGTCCATTTTTACTTAATACAAGACAAAGGGCGTTTAATCCTGAATTGCACTTAAAAATAGCCAGTTTTGTCATGCCCCTTCTCTGCTCCAACACATTTTTTTTATGTAGGGTAATATACTGTACAAATAGCCTTGCCGATGTCTCAAGGCCCTTAATTGTCCAGAGATGTCTTACCACATGTAATTCCGATAACCTTGTGCTTCCCGCAGTCAGTGGCATGTAAATAATGTCTCTTCCAATTCAGATAAGGGTATAGAAATGTTAGACTTTAAGCCAGTGATACACAGTAGCGCTACTGAAATGCGACTGTTATTTGTCCATGGTGATCTGCATGTGCGAGGACTCGCATAGCCCACAGCTGGAACCTCCCTTGCATAGTTACTGTTGGGTTAGTGGGGTGCATCCTGTGTGTGTATGTATGTTTTTCTGTCTTTCCCTTATGTTGAGTCATATACCCCCCCCTTGCTGAATCCACAGATCAGTACTGGGGTGTGACTGCAGCAGTATTCCGGCGCCGGCTCCGTGGCGTTTATTGAATCCACGGGACACCGCTCATCATCCCTAGGGGGCTCCTTTGAGTCATGTCTGCAGACCTTCATGACTTTTATGACATGTCCAAACATGTCCGATTGGAAGGTGCTGATTGGGTTTACAGCATCTCTCTTTTTGAGTGAAGCCACTCTTTATCATTTACTGGCGCTCGGTCCTGCCTCGCAAACGATCCTCTGTCTGGATCGGTCCCTCACGCCTCTGCTTATCGTATGCACTTTCATCTCTGCTGGTTGTTGGAGAGACACGTCTCAAGCGAACATTCTGGAATTCACGTCACGCTACAGGGGGGTTTCTTTGTTTGTGTGTGTCAGCCTTGTGGAATTAAACAGGATATTACCGGGGAGGAAGGCACTGAGGCTGGGGTGCCCCTGTCAGCATGCCAGCAGAGATCCCACGGGTTGTTTTTACCAGTGTATTCAAGTATGCTTCCTTACCAGCCTTGGAGGCTCTACATTTAATATCAGCAGTGGTATTTTATTTATTTATTGTTGTAATTTAATTAGGGGCAGCCAGTTGACGTTGGGCCCCCATTGGACCCCCAGAGACTTTTTTTTTTTTTTTCCCCTCCCTATTTGAGTGTTTTTGGTTCCACTCATCTGTTATCTTATATCTTTCTCTCTCTACCTCTTCTTTCTCTCTTTCTTTGTCTTCCCTGTTTTTCAATTATTTTGTATATATCATACAGGAACATATCACAACAACCATGCAAAACACCTTGGGGCAACTGTTGTGGAAGGCGCTGTATAAAATAAATTAACTGAATATAGCACGGTCCCTCAAAGTGCGATAAGTCAGCCAGCTCTTGTATTTACGTGAAACATCATCCCTACCATCGATTGACCGAAACTTTCTGACCTTGACATCTGCCTTTTCTTTTCCAGTCCCCCGAAGGCTCCCCTCGTCATCTCAGGAGTGGTCACAAAGGTATGACCTTCCTCTTTTCTTTATTGTATTTTTATTTATGTATATTTAAATTTGGTTTGGGGGGGTGGCTTCAGACTGCGTCTTTGCTGTTGCACCACCCAGTCAGTCAGAAATTAGTTGGATCCTACAGCACATGCATCATTAAAACAAGCTTAAGCTCTCGGGTTGATCCGGGGAGGTCGGATTGTAGGGCGGGAAGTTACTTGTTGGCTGGCCGCACACCACTGCCTGCCCCTGCCGGGGTTTTAGTCCAAGACCAAAAGCCGGTAGCTGATGGTGTCCCGAGAAACATGGCCGACCAGCGCCTCAGGGTCAGTCAGTGGCAAAGACAGCAGGCGTGTCTGGAAGGAAGGACAGACGCTGTGCTAGGTCAGCGGATTTCGTGCCACGTTCGGTAGCATGCCCAGAAGCGACAGACGTGTCCTGTACAATCAGCTGAGTGACAGTTAGTTTTCTGCAGGTGTGGTGAGCGTTTGGGTCTCCTGGGAAACGCTACTGCCCTGGAATTAACAGGAAGTGTGTTTGTGTGACACACAAGTTGTTTAGCTGAAGTATCATTAAGCAGGTTTGTATGCAGTCTCAGGGTCACAATGAGACCCCCCCCGATTAGTACCTGCGCCTCTCACGCTGGCCACGCCCACTCCTGCCCAAGGCTGACCTTAATCTGCACTTCTTATTGTCAGTCTCACTGTAGGGAGCTCACTGTTTAAACAAGCTTTAGCGGGCTATACATTCATGTACCAGGCTGGCCTCTGATGGCCCTGAACACCCCAGCGTCTTACTCCTGATTGGACATAATGCCAGAAGCTGAATGTAGCGGTGAGTAGAGTTGTGTTTGGCTCGGCCTAATTCTGAGCAGGGCAGCGTAGTGTCAGGGCTGTGCAGGATCGTCTTTAGGGTGGGGCAGGTGCGAACAGGCTGTCATAAAATAAACGGCCAAGTAAATGCTTTAACCATCCAGTCGTTCATTCAAATGCAATCTGACACTTTCTTTCCTCTGAGTGTGACTTGGGACCAGCTGAACTGTTTTTCTGGGTTCCAGAACCACAGACGACAAATAAAAAACATAGGTCTGTTTGTCATTTTGAGGCCGACTTCATATCTCACTTTGTTGTAGTGTTTGATTTCTAATACGCACCCAAAAACAGATGAAAGCATTTGGGGTAACAACCAAAACATTTTGGCTGCTTTTTGAAGGGGGCTGACTTGAAACGGAGCTCGTTTACCTTCTAGGGTAAGACGCCTGTAGAAGCTTTACTCTTTCCGTACTGCATCTGTAAGACCCGCGGCTTCTGAGTCTTTCATGTTTTATTCGTCAGAAGCTTTGAGTGTGTTATTAATTAGGCTTCCGCTAATCGGGCTGCCCTGGACGTGCACGTGAAAGTGGAGAGGTACAATTCATGCATCTTGACCCTGCCCTGCTCATGGTTAGTGGTGAGGTGGGTTCATGGGTGCCTTGTCTCTGGCGATTTAATAATCCTGAGCTCAGGGTTCCTGCTGATCTGACCGACAGAATGTCTCGCTCTCTGTGACAAGTTCAAGCCGGTTCTTAGTAAGATATTCCACCACCCCGGCCCTACATTTCTGTAACTACTTTGAAGTTTTGTGTTGGAAGTGTGGAGAGTTTGTTGGATGTGTCTCCTCCAGTTACGGCGTTTCACAGTTGGTTCATGGTTAGTCATGCCAGTGACATGAAGGATCCTTCAGATGATTGTGAAGCCGTTTCAGAAGTCTGAAGCCCCCCCCCCTTCCCAGATGTCTCACTGGGAGATAAAGCATTTTGGCAGCTTAAATATGACGGAAAGTGACCTCGGAAATTGATTTTATGACCTTGTGACGCAGGGCGACAAGGACTTCACCCCGGCCGCCGCCCAAGTGGCCCATCAGAAGCCCCAGCCCGCGGTGGAAAAACTGCCCCCACCTCACCACATCAACCAGCACATCCACCAGCCCCGCAAGTGAAAGGCGTCCCGGGAGGGGGGGGTGGGGGTCAGGACCACACCACCCACCCGTCCACACTCAGGTTCACAAGACAACTGTCGAGCATTCCAAGAGGTCTCTCCAATCTGCCTGTGGCATGGGGCCGCACCAGGAAGCTGGTGCCTGCCGTGAGATCACATGCAAACACAATGACCACCCCCTCCCCCTCTCCTTTGTCACCGTTGTGCAGCAAATTAACGCTAAATGTCTCATTCCTTTTAAGAAAATTAGCCACAGCTATGAGCAGCATTTGATTTATTTAGGAAGATGTAGAAAACGTTTGTTTACCTAATAATTTCTGACATTAATTGTAAATTTTTGCAAATTATTTGTTTTTTGGAGAATTAACTATTTTATCGGAAATGAAGAAAGTGCAATTGTCCTTAATCTCTCGTGTTGGAGTAAAATAAACAAAAGCTTTGTTTTCCAAACTGGAGTGATTGAAGAGGTGATGAAAATGTCACAGAGCGCCTTGTTGTCTCATCCTGGTTAGCTGAGCCCGATTGTTGGGCCGGCTACCTCATCGGACCCAGGCTGTGTGCCGCTCCATGGCTGTTCTGCCACGTCAGATATATGGTGTGTGTGTGTGTGTGCGTGTGCATGTTGTTTGGTGGATATTGAGCACCACAGCTGTGCAGGCTTTGGTCTCCTCGTATTTCAGGGGGCTGCAGCCATGTATTTAGAAAAGCTTTATACAAACCTGTAAAAAGTCACACTTTCGGTTCACAGAACATGAGGACCGGAGTCTCTCTCTTTGCTTGGGTTTGGAACTGAACGCCCAGCTTCTTGACACACACACACACACACACACACACACACACACACACACACATTCACACTCACTTTCATCTAGGGATTAACAAAAGCAGTAGATTTTTTACACTTTTACTACAAGTGCCTCTTTCACTGAATACATGCCACCAAAGCTGCAGGTCAACACTAAGAACAATACAAGGTTCAGGCCGGAGATGACAGTGTTGCCGTCACAGTGGCATCTGGCCTTGGTTCCAGTTACATTTCCCCACATGTATCATTTAGCATCATTATCTTAACAGTGTAAACAAGTTTCCGTGCTGCTGTATCAGTGTTCTTCATGGACATTTAGAAGATGAGGAGTGGAGTCATCCCGACCTTAGCCGTGCGACAGTGACCACCGTGCCGCTCGCCCCAGGCTGCATCCCAGCTACAGGGGGGGCCAGGTGATGACGTGGCATGTGGGAAACCAAACCGTGTTCAAGCGAACCTGATTTTTCTGAGAGCTTTTCACAGAGCTTGGGTCTAATTCCTCAATTCCAGACACACTCCTCTGACAAACATGACAGCATGAGGAATCTTCCTGAGATGGTTCTTTTGTGATGCCGTGACTGAAGGACAGCCCAAGGAGCAGACGCTGGCCATCAGTGAGGGGTGATCTCATGATATGCGGCTCCCATGAGGGCCGTGAGAGTGGTGAGGGATTTCTCACGTTCTCCAGGAGCACATCATCCACGCGCCTTGGGTGTGATGAGCTCATGGATAAAACGCACAGGGACAGATGGATCAATGCAACACAGACTGCTGCATTGTCACCGTTTAAATACTAAGACTGGGAGATTATCAGTTTACTCATGGAAGTGTTCTGAGTGTTCTGAGGGCAGAACAGAAATGATTGGTCCAGAGAGATAACCAATCAGACTGAAGAGGAGGTCTGTCCAAGCAACTAGAGGAGGAGGGACCAACCAATCAGATGTCTTGGTCCTGACTAGGACTAGTCTAGTTGCTTGGACCCACCTCCTCTACAATTCTTGTGTAAGTAAAATTCCCACTAGTGTTAGCTTTACTGAGCTCAACTACCCAATCGGTTTTGAAAGAGCCTGGAGTATGATTCTCCACCCAGAAGCCTATGGTGAAACCACAAAAATGACCTCACCGCTATAAAGGGGATGTCCAGATCTGTGCAGATATGAATGGGTTACTTTAGTGTAGGGCCACTCACGTAAACCTTCATGGAGATGACAAGCAGAATAGCAATAAAACCATCTGAGAGGTACTCTGATTATACGCGAGTCGGTCTTGTTAAAGGAGCCAGCCATGGCCCAGCTTAGCCTAACAGGCACATTTCCTGGCACAGCCAGCTAACATTCAGGAAGGTTAAATTGTCTTCTGTTGGCTATTAATAAATTTGGCCCATTTGGAATTTATAAATGTATGACTTTCTCGTGGTGTAGGGTAGCTGGTCTGTCAGTGCAGAGAGACTGTACCCTATATTTCATTAAATGTAGATGGAAACTGCGATCATGTCTGAAGATGAGATGTATCTCGCAATTGCGATTAGCTACGATTTAATGGTGGGGTACATTCATCGCATGGCATTTAGACGTTAAGATGGTTCTGCTCCTGTAGTGTACCTTCATTTTGCTGTCAGGTTTCACTTTCCATCAGCTACTGAACAAAAGTGTTTGGGCAAAAGTTGTCATTCGTAGTGAATTAACTACACCATATTGAGCATTTAACCAAGCTAATGAGTTGGAAAACTTGGCCATATCACATGTAAATTACTTATTAATATGCTACCTAAGTCGGCTCAGTTCATTTGTCTTCTATGGCTATCAAAACAATTTGGTTTCTGATCCTTTGGTCACTAGTAGTGGATTTTCCTCTGTGACAATCTACAAAAAGTTTTATAAAAATCAATTATTTCTCTCCAAGCAATAAATAGGAAAATAAATACAAATTCTTGTTCAGGTATGAAATTCTCGCGTGGTGTGTGGCTCAGCTCAGCAGCGAGGGCTAATGCCCTGACAGGAAGTGGCCAGGAGAACGTTATGTCCTCCTCCCTGCAAACGTGCGCTTCTTCTCAGACTGTGCTTCCCTTTTCTTCCTCTCTGCCTCCTCCATCTTCTTCCGCTCCTCCCGCTGCTCCTTGTACCTCCACTTGGGGATCTGCAGAAGGTTCTCATTGACGGAGCCATTCTTCTGCTGCTCCTTCTCGGGCACGTAGAGCGGTGCCGGGGCCTTGGTCACCCGGACCTTGGGCACCGCCATGCCTGGCCGTACGCTCCGGCGCCGTACCAGATGCAGGGGTAGCAGGCTGGTGCGCCTCAGTGCCACCGCGTCACCGCCCGCCGGGTCCCGGGACTGCAGGCTAGCCCTGCGCTCCTTCTTCCTGGGCACCAGAGTCACCTGGGAGTTCTGGAACAGCTTCTTGTAGCTGTCCAGGTGCTCAGACCCCAGGTTCTTGAGCTGCTCCGCCCGCTGCTTCTTGAGGATCTCCTGCACAGAGTAGCGCCGTTTGCCGACGCGAGGCGGGCTGTTTGGGCACACCGTCTGGCAGGCCGTGGCCACGAAGGGGCTGCCTATCCCAGTGGTCAGGCGCACCATGTGGTCCATCACGCCGTCCTCCTGCGGCTCCCCGCGCGTCCTGAAGAAGAAGGAGTTGCGGATGGCCTCCGTCACCTTCCTCAGGCAGCCCTTCTGCTTCTTGGCCTTGGCCACCGGGTCAGGCAGTGGAGACCACTCCAGCCTGTAGGACTCGGAGAACTGCTCCGGGCAGGGCCTGGCCAGCAGCCGTGTCACCAGCCGAGCCGTCTCGTGGCGGCCTGTGAACACGGCCCACTCCAAAGACGCCAGCTTCCGCCCAGGGTCGCGGGCACCCAGGTCCGCCCCTAATGCAGCGGACAAAACACAATGGCTTCTTACATCATACTCATTTATCTCACAGTAGGAGGAAGTGCTGCAGTTCTCTGCTCCCTGGGACTTGAATCCACAACCTTTGCATTGTTAGCACTTTGCTCTACTTGTTGAGCTGCAGTTAAAGCTTTTATCTAAAGCAGCTTAAAATGTATACAGCTGGAAACAGACCATCTAATATAACGCCTCTCCTGGGCCTCAACCCAACAACCTTCCAATTTCAAGGCTAAACACACTAATGCACTAATTCCTATATATAAATTTGAATAATTCACACAATTACATAGACTTAATTCTTAATAATTACTATGAAAAACACCATTTAAAAGCATCACTTCTTGCAATAATAATATTGGACATTATAAAACAAGAAAATAAAAATACTCTGGCTTTATTTAATCTAGAGAGTGCCATATTCATTTTTGTATTTGTCATTAGGCAACAGTTAACAGCGTGCTTCGCAAAACAGCACCTTGCACGTGTGATATAACGCAAAATGCAAATGTCAGACACATGGGTTTTTACCATTGAACCGGAAAGATTATAATAAGTTAATGAATATTTTCACAGTTAAAAGCATCCGGTTCCATTTGCTCTCGATATTTTCTACAACTGCAGTCAGTATCTGCTAGACAGTTCAGAGAACAATCAGCATAGGCATGTATATCCTCCTGAGACCCAAGGGAAAAAGTGTCCTTCAATTTTAGGTTGTCTTTGGAGGGAATAAGACATCTTACAATTTAGATTTTTTCAAATTTATTTTTAATTTCACAGCATGTCCTCTTTAGTGTACAACAGGAATAAATATGTTTCCCAACATCAGTGAAAAGATATATGCAAAAATAAAATGTCCACTGCAATGGACATAAATGAATGGGTGGGGTCTCAGGAGGATATTACAGATATTTATTTGTGTTTGCAAACAACGCAGGTGTTTTGGTCAAATTGTACGACACCGAAGTGACACTGTAACCCACGTCCTGCTCATCAGACGCCTGTCTGCTCTCCAGACATACATCAGGCTTTTCTGAAGCCCTTTGCAACCCTCCTGTACTGGATTCTGAGTCATCTACTGAGGGCCAACAAGCCAAATGATGTCATGGACCAGGCTGGTATCTGTTTGCAGCCCTTTAAAAACACTGCCTGCTGCCCGCCAACGCGTATTCTCAGAACCGGTACCAGGCCTGCTTCCCTTCTCTGGCTGTACGGGAGGACTGTGATCATCGCCATTGTTTGGGTACATGTCTGCTGGTAATATGGACCTCAGGGCGGAACACTGCAGGTGATATAACGGTCACATGACGAGAATCAGTAGACGTGACTGGATAATAATATGCAGCCTTGGCTACTGATAATAATATGTAGCTAGCTAGACAGTTAAGATGTATCTATCCTTCATGTTTTTTGTACATTTTGTGTCCTTTGTGGCTTTTACGAATTTATATTTCTATATATTAAATAAACAAATGTGAATAAATGTAATTGTACCAGTTCTTATTTTCAACTGATAACACTTGGTTTTTCTTATTTTGCCCTGAAAATTACAGTTAGCCTCTTTCTGAAAATGCTCCCATCATTTTGGCAGCATGGTGATGTAGTAATTATGGGTTCACTGTTCTCCAGTATCATTACAGGAAAGAAAAAATGTTTTCTGATGCAAGCTGTCTTTCTGAAATTGCTATTTTTGCAGCCCTGCACAAATACTAATTCCATAACACATTACTTGTACATTTCTTGTACAGTTTTATTTAGTCATCATAATTAATTTTCATTTTTGAAAGCACTTTGCAGTTAAATGTATTCTGTAGAACAATATATGACATCTAAGGTATTGACTTAATGGTTTTACTACACTGTTGAGTATTCATGACTGGGAGACCACAACTCATGCACACCAGAGCATCTGCAGCATTGAGGAACACAAAGCGACAGTCCTGAATCTACCTTGCACCTGAAGGTAGCAAGACCTTGGGCATCGCATGTCTACACGTTGCTTTAGTGTAAGGAAACACCTTTCGTGAGTATTACGCATCTACACGATTCTTTAGTTGTGAGCAAACACCGTTGTTGGATTTGATTTTGGATTTGAGAAGCTGCGTGCCTTTCATTTAGCTTTGGATTTGGGTTTGGACCTGGACCCATCTTTTTTGGACCAAGGATCTTCGTAACTGTACCTGCGAACATTAGAGTCCGGACACATTCTGTCCTGCCCTGCATGGCGGCCTTCATGAGGGCTGTGAAGCCGTGGCAGTTCTTGCGCTCGAGGTCGAGGCCGGGATAATAGTTGAGCAGGTAGTTGCAGATAGTTATATGTCCTGAAAGCATATGGAGATGGTCATTATTCGGCTCACTGTAATAAAACACTGATTTCATAAAACACTGCTCTTCTGGCCTAGTCGCCCAGTCCCTCGAAGTGTTTATCATCACACATTTTTCCAAGGGGTTCATCCCAATGGGGAAACAAAATACTTTATAGATGGAAAATGTTTCTTCTCCCCAGATCCCAGGAAACTCAGTCACATAAAACTGAAGAATAATGCTGCAGAAAATCAACAGCAGACAGGATGCCAATAAACAGCAATTGTAACTGTTTCCCTGCGGCCTGAGCGATGGTCCATGCGAGGGCAGGCAGCGGGGAGGGGGCGCTAAAAGCGGGGGATCTAATTACTATATTTAATGGAAGCCCATTAGATTTTAAATAGGAGTTAATTATAGTCTGGCTGAAAATTTTAATCTCTAACCCCCCCCCCCGCCACGTATTTGGTGTGCCGCAAAAGACCAAATATTTGAACAAATGACCTAATGTTAACTCTGCACTTTTACAGCAGTAGGTACAGACATACAGACAGGGACCAAGAGCCTTGAATCCAGAGAGACCTAATGAAGGGTGCAGCTAGAAATTCCGGGTCCCCTGATAAAATGTCACCTTGGCCGCCCCCCCACCCAATTTTTCATATAATTTTATGCATTCAAAGTCCCCTGTAAAGTGCTGGCTCCCTAAATATGCCAGGGTATCCCTGCCCTTACTGTGCCTCTGGGCCTAATTATGTTAGCACTTATGAAAATGCATCGTATTTAAGCTAAAGTGCTATAAATGTCAACCAGCCTCTGCTAAATAATTCAGCTATGTTCTGCTTATAATACTTGGTGATTTGTTTTTTTCTAGTAAATACTCATTAGATTTATAAAAAAGGTAAATAATTCCTAAGCACAAGAAGCAGGGGATGAAAAAGGCTTCTTGTGATGGTGGCTGTAATGAGCTCTTACCTGCCTGACAAGCCGTGATGAGAGCTGTGTTTCCTTCATTGTCCTGCCAGTTGACGTCGACGAAGGGGCACTGTGCTAGTGCAATGACGACGTCAACGTAGCCCTGATAGCAAGCGACCAGCAGCCCCGTCTGCAAGGACATAACAGGGTTAGAAGGGCTCCCTGATTCAATCTCGAATTTGACAATAGCTCACAAAAGCCATATTTCAGAAAATGCTTGACAAAAATATGACTCTCACATGGAAGAATTTGGACAGGCCTGTAAAAGAAGGCTTCGATCACCACCTTAAAAAGGACATGTTTACAGACCCATATCAGATTGTCAGCACTCACTTCTATTATGTAAACTGTTAATTTGTTAGCACATTAGCTAGTAGGGAAATAGAAAGCTATAATGCATTTATGTATCAATCCCTGTGTACCACACTATATAATCCATGCTACATTGTACTAGAGCTGTATATGGTTAGTAGACTATATATCCGAGAAAGATGTATTTAACAACTATGGTGTTCTGCCCGACGTCTCATATCTAAAAAATACTATTCAATGGCTATGCTTTTCTGCTAATTTGCAGTATTATGCTACTTTTAATTTGACACATAGTTCTCACTCTGAGCGGTCGATCATTCTGTTAGCAATCATAAATCCTGTAAAGTACCTTGTGAAAAACTGACTGCTTAATATGGGACTGAGATTCAACATGTATCAAAATGCATGAATTACTCCTGTGAGATAGCTGAACCACATTCCCAAAATCCATTAAAACTCGCCAGTGAGGAATATGGGAACGACAGCTGTCATAATCATCAGTGTTTCTGTGATGTTTTAATGGGGGGATTACCACAAAAATCACAGCTAGAAATAACTATGAATATTTACTGCCCAAGCCAGCTAAGATGTTACAAGAATATTGTGTTTGTGTGAGAAAACAAAAAAAGCTCCATAATGAATGTAAAGATTACATATTTTTACACATATTCTAATTATGCCAATGAGATATGATCCATAATAGTAAAGCCAAATCCAACCATCTTCCAACCAATTATCCTGGTCAGGGAGCCAATCCCAGGCAGCATAAGGCACAAGGCAAGGAGACCCCCCCCCCTAACTGGAATGCCAGTCCATCACAGGGCACACGCAATCACACACTATGAGCAATTCAAAGACGCTAATAAGCCTAACTGCAAGTCTTTGGACTGCAGCATTACGGAAACATTTCACACTGAGCAGAGCAGGGACATACCAGTTCCCAGTGGCGGAGGTATAATGCAACAGCTTTACCCACTGAGCCACAGTGTCTGAACCAGCCCAATTACTGAAATTTAACTGTGGCGGTACAGAGTCTTCAGAGGAAACCCAATCTAGTTATGGCGTGCCTTTCATTTCACCGAGCCCACACTGAGAAGATCATGATCATCCTACTTAACGAGTCAGCAGCTTGTCCATTACAGAAGCAGACTTGGTTGTGGAGCTGTTTCCCCCTCCTCACGTAATTCTTAAATAGATGTTACAGCAGAAAACTGGAAATGGAAGCTCCGCCGCGTGGGAGGTCGTGATTAAATTACCATGGAGCTAAGGACAGCTGTCGCCAGAAGAACAGCCCAAACAAGAGATCCTCAGCCTGCTTTTGGATTCACTGTTTTTCGCAGCTTAACACATGGATTAATCTATGCTTTGCAAATCTGAATAAAGTGATGGATGTTCTAATAAAATAAAATCTAATAGAAACTGGAAACCTCATCTAATTTGATGTATTTTTTTATTGTTGTGAACAGCTGATATTAAAATTAAAAAAAAAAGCTGATCATCTTCTGGTTAACACATAATGAAATATTAAGAAAAACATTGTAAACATTTTATGTGGGTTTTCAGCCTGCTTTTTAAAATTTATGAGAACCTTTTGGAAAAAATTGTGTACAGAATTACTTTCACTACTTTTCTTGATGCAAAGCAATCTTTCAATGTCACTACTTAGGTGATTGAATGTGAAGCAGTCAGTACTGATTTCTTAAAATCATTCAATAGTTCAATGTCAGTGGTCAGTTGACTTTAAGCTGTCAGTGCTGATTCGTTTAGGATCACTCATCTTTCAATGTCGGTGGTCAGGTGACTTTATGCTGTCAGTGCTCATTCAAGATCACTCATCTTTCAGTGTCGGTGGTCAGGTGACTTTAAGTTGTCAGTGCTGATTCATTTAAGATCACTCATCTTTCAATGTCAGTGGTCAGCTGACTTTATGCTGTCAGTGCTTATTCATTTAAGATCACGTCTTTCAATGTCAGTGGTCAGGTGACTTTATGCTGTCAGTGCTCATTCAAGATCACTCATCTTTCAATGTCGGTGGTCAGGTGACTTTAAGCTGTCAGTGCTGATTCATTTAAGATCACTCATCTTTCATCTTTTTGTGGCAGCCTGGTTTTATAGCCCATGAAATGTACATTCACACACTCTCTCTTCTTACAGGTGCAGAGGCAAAATCTCAGTTTACATTTCATGCTTTAATCCCATATTTTTGCCATCTTACTAGTTTGTGCTCTCCCTGCACAATTAGTCAAAAAGCATATCTCAAAATGTTTCAGCAGGAAAAAGTAACAGTTTGAAAAATAAAGGTTTGCTACCTTCAGAGTCTGCGTTCTGGAAACCCCACAATCGTGGGGAATGGTTCATGTAAAAATCACAGTAGCTGTTGTGCACCTTTGTTACGGCAGAGTGGGGCTGATTCTCATTATGGGCTGCCCTCAAAATATATTATGACCCCCCCCACCCCATTTACCACATTCACTCAGCACCTTTACCGATTCATGCGCTGCCGATAACAAGCGTATCCGCAGGCTACAGCTCGCCTACCTCCAAAATCCAACATGTCTGAGACAGCACCTCATTCATATTAATCCTCCCCAACCAACATATGCCACAAATCCAGTTCTTTTTACCATTTACATCCCACAAAGAAAATGCACTGAATCTACTAAAAAAACATACATACATATGTAACCATTTAAATCCCCTTGGATGATCAGTGCACTAGCTCAAGGGCTGTTATCGTTTTTAGTTTTTAAATTGGTCCCAAACTTAAGCCAAACTGTAAACACTCACTTCCCCTCAACGTCCCCCGGGACACAAGTTTCTGCAGTAACTATATGTTCTGAATAAAGCAACCTAAGAAATCAAACCTGTTGGAACAATGAAAGAAACATGAATCATTTTCTCTTTTCCACAGTGCGCTGTTTTTCAAACAAGATAAAAGGACATCTATATCCCTCATTGAATTACATTTCACTTCTTATTCTATAAAATTAAGCTTTGTACGTTGCAAGGAAAACATTATACTTATAGTTTCCCATATGAAACAGCATTAAATAAAATACATAATTTCCGCAAAAAGGAAACAGGAATTTATTAATACGGTCATGAGCACAGTGCATGATCTTGGGCAAAATCGCACACCCCAAATCTTATAATAGGTTCCAGTGAAAGATTTCATTGGCGGGGGGCGGGGGGGGGGGCTCCCTTTTCATTTCTTGACACGTCCATCCATGCAAAGAAAGTCTCTGACTCTTAACAGTCAAATGTTACAGATGTACTATGTATCTTTGAGTAATATCCAGTAGTGCTGTCCCAAACAATTTTTCTTTAAACAATTAATCTTGAAAATTGAAATAGATGCTAAAACATGGAATGATTTCATAACTAGAGAAACATGTTTCTTGTTTTTTGACACTAGCAAATCTAGCTTATAGTTAAGCTTACTTCAGTGAGCAATGAACGATTTAGGCTGCAGTGTGTAATAGTAGTCGTAAACGATAATTTGTCTCACTCTTACGTGACAGAATAAGTAAACAGAAAATATAAAACGGCTGAAACAGCGTCATTAACGTCAGCTACAGTAGAGGTGCAGATAAGGTGTCATGACTTAAGAGGGTTCTTGCAGGTTTCAGTAAGTTAAATTTAAGACCTTTTTAAGACCTTTTAAGACCATTATGAGTAAAATTTAAGACCAACATGATGCATTACTAGAAACATTCGAATGATACCATAAATTCTCATATTTTATGTCACTCATATCCTTAGCCCAACATCCACATATCATATGTGCTTACAAAGTGCGTTTTAATAACTTCACATGTGTTTAAAGCATGTGGGAGTGGGCTTAAACTATAAAAGGTTTATGTACACTCACCTAAAGGATTATTAGGAAC